TCAAAAGCACAAATTGGTACATCGAGATATCAAACCAGACAAGTAATATTTAGTGGTATAAATGTTGAAGCTCAATTCCTTTATAGCATTTTTGTGACCAACGAATACCAGCTAAAGATTGGTGACTTCGGATTGGTAAAAGTAGTGGGTGATGGAACTGTTACTGGGACGTTTATTGGAACACAACGATATATGAGTCCACCTGAGATGAAGGAGGATGGGGTACAACGGGATGTTTATGAACAAATAAAGGAGGCTGATGTATCGGTTAGTTTTACATTCATTTCTATCCAATGACAAGATATATTCATTCCAGAATTCCCATCGAAATGATGTCTACAGTCTGGGACTTGTTGTGTGGGAAATCATCGAAAGGAGGTATTCAGGTTTAAATAGTGAGCTCCTTTGAGATATTAATAAGATTTCAAAACAAGATTCTCATTGTTTTAGAACCATTTTCACAAACTATGAGATGTCTGGAGTGTTTGATCGTGACCGATTATTGTTTGATATTGCACTCAAACGTGTTACTGAAATCGAATCACCTGAATGTCAATTAGAAATTCAAGAAATCATCTTGAGGTTTGGGTTCCAGATTTTCCTTTATATTCAAAGAATCCAACTATCAGATGTACTAACTTTCAACGTATTCATCGTCCAACAGCTTCTCAAGTCTTGGATTACCTCAAACAAATACAGGAAGTAAGCCTTTCTGCAAGAAGTTGAAATTCTCGTCTACTATAATTTAGGGTTGTAAAGTATGTAACTTCGCAAATTTCCTTTTCACTTATTTTACCATTATGATGAATATAAGTTTCACGTTTTATGTCGAATTCTTAGGACTACCACGTATTAAAGTTCGAGAATCTTTTGTGGTAAAATAGCCGTAGCTGAAGTTGACTTATAGCTGTCATTCTTGCTAAAAGCTAAAATAGCTGAAGTTAACTTATACTCACATGGAATGTGAATCCGTGTTCCATCGCTGAAGTCCTTCTTTCTTTCAGAATATACCGGGAAATTTTAAAATAGTTTACCTTAAAATTTCAGCTAAATTCGTGCTTAAAACAATTAGAAAAGCTCTTCTCCGTGGTGATTTTTACGCCGACCGATAAATCTGCAAAGGCGTTTTCTAAGTGAAAACTGTCTAAACGCCCACTCTCTGGCATACAGCCGGCTATGTTTGGTTCAATTACCCAATCATGGGGTGCTCTTATACAAACTAACTCGTTTTTCTGCAGTATTTGGCTCGTGGTTTGAAACATGGATTTTGCTGAAATTTTAAGGATCATTATTTCAAAGTTTCCCTTATATAGTTTGAAAAAAAGAAGAACTTTAGTGATGGAACGGAAAATCCTAGTTAAATTAATGGTAAAATAATAAATAGGAGTAAAGACAAATTTGCGAAGTTTCAAACTTCAAAACCGAATAGTTGAGTAGGTTTCCTTTTTGTTGAATCTTTATACTTCTCAAATATAATAACCTAGACAAATCAATTCATCTCTTCACTCCCTTCTATGGCCACAGAAGATAAAAACCAAAAAGAACTGATGAAACCAATTGGATTCGATGATGGAACAGAATGGGTTATGGTTGAATCTGAAGAAAGGAAATATGAAAAGAGATTAGAGCAAAATAGTTGGGTCTTCGAAGAAATGACTGAAATAATGCGAGATAAACTCGGAACACTAAATTCTGCTGAAAGAGAGAAATTCTTCAAAGAAGCCCCAAATATTGTTTCAAGATTAAAAGAAGAAACTCAGACATTCAAAGATGCTCGTTATGTGATTAGGGAAATATTGTGGATAGCAGAAAGGAAGGAAAATCTACATGAGAAGAATCTTTATGAAATACTTGAATTGTTTGTTTTGGGGGATTTTCAAGAACAGCTCTGGGAAGAAAACAAAGCTTTTGAATATCTTAAAAGTCACGAGGAGATTTGGATATCAAGTTTTGAAAATTGGCGGCGGGTTGAGGATCAGATTGACAATTTGAAAAAAATACAAAGAGAGAAATACACAACAAATTTCTATTTTCGACGTTTTATTTCCCAATTGACTGGTGAGGGATGGATTCATATAGAAACGGATTGGTTTGTAAGTGAAGACTTGAAATTATGGAAACTTATACCAGGACAAGGGGTAGACAATTCAGGAGTTGAAATTCCCAGCTATGAAATTGAAAAGGAAGGTAAAAAACATGAAATGCTTTATTTCTCCCATTACGAACAAATCCCTCTTGAACGAATAATTAAGGCATTAAAAAAAGAACAAAAAAAAATGGAAAGGATCATAAAATTATACTTGAAACATCTGATTCCAATAGAAAATTCGGAAAAGAATAATGGTCCATTTAATCTTGAATCAATCAATTTCCATGCGTCCTTTGAATATAATGGGCCCTATCCCTTCCCGCACTACATATTCCAATTAAGAAATCCTCCTCGTCCAATTTGTCAAAAGAACCATTCCTGGAAATGTCAAATGGATGGGTTTAGAAAAACGAAAGGAAGGTTCTCAAATTTACCTAAAGAATTGCACATTCCAGTATGTGGTGGTATCACGGTAAATGAGGTTTTGTTTCTGGAGAGTTACCTGAATTGTATGAAATCTGATAGATATCTGATTCTTGTTCACATGGAACACCCATTTCTATTTCTCTGCTGTCAAAATCTCTTAGATATTCCATTTTTGATTCTCCTGGATCATCCAAATAATTATGGAAATGGGGAAAGTGTTCCTGGATTGGATTTCGAGAGGAAACTTCATCATATTGATGTTAGAGTATTGAGAGAATACTTTCAAGAGGCAAAGCTCAATGAGAGGGTCTATGCTTTGATCAAGGGTAATGGATTTACACCCTACATTCGTTTGATTGATTATCAAGGGAAGCCAAAAACCAAATGGCTTGATTTAGAAAAAATGCCGAACTCGGCTTCCTATGACCAATTCACTAATCAAAGGCTATAATCAGTAGTCGACGATAAAGAAGTGACTAGAAAAAGCAAAAATGTTTCTTGCTCTGTATCCTAACCCTAGTCTTCCTGACTGCCCAATTACCAGAGTCTTTATTTTACTAGTCTAAATTTTAAATTCTATCTGTCTTTATGCCACTTGTTTTCTTTCTTTTTCTCCAGATGAATAAAGTATTCGTCGAAATATTAGGGACTTGCAAAAGAAACTGCGGATTATAACCAACATTTGAACAGCCCAAAAATCAATAAGAAAACAACTTTATTCCAAAAGATATTTCATTATTATCAACTATGTTATTACATTTTTTACGTAGACTTCGGATGTCTGATTCGAAAAATTCGGGGTTCCGCGACGCAAATTAGTCTTGTACCCAAATTTCGACTTCTTTAAGATTGTTAAGCTTTAGATTTGCAAGAGAGTGTTGCATAGACAGGTAGAAGTGGTAATCTGAGGGAGCGATATCAGGCGAATAGGGCGGATGAGGCACAAGTTTCCAGCCTAATTCTTCTATGGTGTTTTGAGACAAGTTTGATGTGTGTACCCGAAAATTGTGAGCGAGTAAATGGATTGTCCTTGGATTAACACCTCTTTCTCGTAGAATTTCATCAACTTTCTTCAGCTGTTCGGCGTAGATTTGAGAAGTTATAGTTTTTGAAGATTTTCGTAATTCAAAATAAACGATTACTTTCATATTCCAAAAGACCGACAACATAACTTTCTTTCGGTGAAGTTCTGGATGTGTTGTCGGAATCGGCCTTTCTCCTTTGCTCAACTATTGTCTTTTGCGTGTTGTATTATTGAAATATGTCCACTTTTCGTCCATCATCAACATGTTTTCAAAAAAGCACTGCCCGTAGCCTTTTTCGATAGAAACCGAGACCATAAAACTCGATTCGCTTTGTTTTCAGGGGATAATTCATGTGGGACCCATTGGCCACAACGATTCCTTTTTTCCAATAAGCGCAAGGGGTCGAGAAATTGTGCTCGAATCACATTTAAAGTATTCGGCTAATTCGGGCAAAGTTTGAGTTGGATCCAACACGACAATCTCCAGCAACTCCGCATTATCGAAGACAACTGGGCAATATCCATCTTCCAAGCTGCCATCCCCTTCACAAAAACGTCGAAACCATTCCTGGCAAGTCCTTTCACTCAAAATGTTTTCTCCGAAAGTTTCACAAAGATTCCGGTGCGACTTCGATGCTGATTTCTTCATTTTGAGGTCATAGAGAAGGCACGCTCAACATGAGTTTTTGATCCGTCATCTTCTACCGAAGATTATGTAATATTTAATGATAGCAATAATTGTGAACATAATTTAAATGAATAAGCAATAATAATACAATATAATACAATTTAAACCGGACCATCACATTTTCAAATAAAAAACTTTGGTCCTCTGAAGTAATCCGCAGTTTCTTTTGCAAGTACATAAGAGCTTTTATCATTGCTCGTTAAAGGCTTGGGCTTCATAAATCGGTAATAAATCTCTTTATATCGGTCATATTAAATCAAAAACAGTCATAAGCAATAAAAGTGCTGGCGAACTGACAGGGTGGCCAGAAAATACGTCGAATTTTTTTGGCGCTTTGATTTATCCGAGTTTGATTTGACACTGAATTTTATTGAGTCTCTTTATCGAAATGGTATTTAATGAATTTTATTTAATTTTTTATCTTTATTTTTTAATGAAATAAAAGTTTTATTTTCAGGGTTAACGCGGTATGAATACAAAAGAAAAACGCGAAAAAGCACGCATTGCTTTCACATCGAGTTTTACAAAACCGCGAGGAAGCCGCAACAAATCATTGAAAGCACCGGATACAAGAAAGATATTGTTTATGAGGCTATTAAACGGCACAAAGATACGAGGTCTTTCGTGGACCGCAAAGGAAGAGGACGACCGGCCACAGTTACCACTCTACAGAATCTCAACAAGCTACGATGTCGAATAAATCCTATGCAATCGATGAGAAAAATGACTCTAAAAATACTAAAGATTTGAAACTGAGGCGTGAAAGCGTTAGAATGATGCTTCGGAAGCAGCTTCTCCTTGTGCCGTACAAAGCGGCTTCGCGTAAATGAATTTAACCTTCAACCGGCCCATGGCGCTCGAACCACGCTCCACCTCTGTTAGCAGCTCTTTCCGGTCTTTTGGCATAAATTGGTATGGCCAGGTAACGCGCCTGATTTAAATCCATTGTCCTTTTCCGCTTGGTCTCTGCTTGAAGAGAAGCTTTGCCATTATCGATACACCACAGTAGGAGGTTTGAAAGTGGCTTTGAATCGCGCCTGGGACGATATTATTACGCAAGAGTGTGTGGCCATTGTTCCGAATTTCCCGAAGCGACTCCGCAAATGTATTGATGCCCAGGGAGGCAATTTTGATTTGGCAATTTTTAATGTAAAATTTTCATTTGATATGTTTTTAATTGGTATAAAAATGTTGTTTCTTTTTGAATTTTTAGAATAAATTGTTTCAAACTTGTGCTTACTTTTTTCGCTGCGGAAAAAAATTCGACGTATTCTCTGGTCACCCTGTATTGTCACGGAATCCAGCAGAATAGCAAAACACCCCAAGATTTAGGAGAAAAGAGTGGAAAGTTCTTTCTCTTAATTCTTAGGGCGTCTCGTCACTCTGCTAGTTCTTCCGTGATTTTTTTGGCCCCCGTTAACACACAAATACCGGACTTTTATATTAAGCATGTACAGGGTGACATAAAAAGTTCCCGGACCGTTTTTGGGTGACTGTTTTAGAAGTGATTCAATCAACATTTTTCAAAACTAACATTGGATTCGGCAAATTCAAGTATTCTTACCTTAGAAAACTCATTTGCACAACAAAAATTGAGCGCTAGATATTTTTTTGATGAAGATCTTTCAGGGATGCTACAGAATTTTTTTCTCATTTTGTCAATTTTATGAACCGAGTGCTCTCCGTAGGAGTGCTTGAAAACAACCATGTCTAAAGTGGTGACAAGAAGTTTTATGCTGATAACCTAAAAATACAAAGCTGCGCGTACTTTGCGTGAACACCCAAGCGATGTCCATTTGGCATTTCTAGTGTTGAAGTGTGTCTTCATTGAATTTGAGTGTTGAGAAGTTCGTGCTTGGGTGTTCACACAAACTATGCGAATTCGAATCACCGATGGGTTTAATCTTTGCTCATAACTTAGGTAGCAAAAGAACTTGGTTAGGTGATTTTAATTTTAATACTCTAGTTAGGTTATTCCAATAGCAGGTTGTTAATTCTAGCTATGCTAGCTCTATTTCAATCATTTAGCGAAAACACATCACTTGACATGGGCAGGGCGAAAGCCACTCGGCGCGGGCACTTTTGGCGAAGTTTGGTCAATCGAATACAGGTGAAAATGTAAAGAAATTCCGTACTCTGTACAAGCATCCAAACGTCCTCCATCTGGCATACTGAGTTCCCCACTTTTTTGTGGAAAAATGCAAAATCAGTGCACCAGATGGGCTTCGTTTGATGGCTTGCACAAAGTACGCAGTCCCAGCTTCCAGGTTTAATACCTTGAACCTTGGTGAGTTCGTCATCAGGTTTGCCGGCAAGAGTCCGAAGGACGTGAATCGGAATTCAAAAGAATACAAAGATCTTCATTGTGAATGGCAAATGTTACGGCGGCTTTCCCATGACTATATTGTCAAATATATTGGGTTCATCGAATTTCAAACACCCATTGCAACGATTCCCCCGTTCGTCTTACTGCTGGAGAAATGCTATGAGAAGAATTTAAAAGAAGGTGGGCTCTCTTTCTCTAACATAAGGGTTCCAAAACTTGAAAACCGGGGAAACCGGCCAGGGCTAAGCAGGTACCCCAAGACTATCGATTTTTTTTAAACTTCCGGGTTAGGCTAGAAGAATCCGGATATTGGTATCAATTTTTTTCAAAACAAAGTTGTTTTCAGATACTAGCCCTCTTAAGAGCATTCGGCTGCTTTGACAAAAACCTTCTAAAGTCACAAAAAAGTGGTCAAATCCGCCTGAGAAGTTTCAAAATGGCCTGGCCTGGCTTTTCATTGGCCTGACCCACAGCCCTGAGGCACCCAGTACCGGTCTGGACTGTTCGTTTTTGCTGCCCTCCCAGCCTTGTTTTGGGACCGCTTTTAACAGTTAAAGAATGGATTCAACGATCTGGGCTGTTATGATTCCAAAATTGGCTCAAACCGTCCGGATTGAACAAAACTGTTCCATCGGCTTCAAAAAACAATCTTTTTTCTCCTTTCAGTAATCTTGGCTCCCAACATGCGCTACTCGTTGTGGACCATTTTATATTGGGCGAAGCAAATGTTCTCAGCTCTCGAATATTTGCGGACACAAAACATCGTTCACCAGGACTTGAAAGCGAGAAAGTGAAAACACACGAATTGGGTCTTTTCATATCACCAAATTTCAGCACTCTTTTGCACTGTCAACGGAAAACGGGCGAAAAGCATTTACTCGACGTGCGCATATGCGATTTCGGCTCGGCGAGGCATTTTGAGCACACGACGACTTTCCCGGTTGAAGGCGGCTCGGAGGGGACAGAGATGTATTGGGCTCCGGAGACGTTCTACGAACGGGTACTTGGGTTTTGTTTAGTGTGAACACTAGCCAAGGGAACCGGTCCTCCTAAATCAGTTTACGAGTTTTTTGGGGTAAATCAAATGACCTTGAGTTTTTGAGTTTAATTCAGAAAAAAAAAACAAAGAAATCCGAGTTTCTCAGGCACAAAATACAGAAAAATGTGTACATTTTTAGAAGACCTGCCATCGGACCGATATCTTCCAGCTTGGTACCGTGCTCTATGAATTGGTGGAACGGAGGTATGGGAAAGTTAACAAGTGACGGCAGTTGAGCTGTTTGATCTTGCTACATTTATAACAGAAACTGCATACAACACTTAAGCAACTAGTTACTCATATTTGACGATTGTTTCAGTTAGGTAATTTTGCATAACGGATTATCTTTTGGGTCGCAGAATTAATCGTTTTATTTAAAAAACAACTCTTCTAGCAATTGCCTTTTGAATGAAGAGTCCGGAGAGCCGCCACTGCTATCTTGTGATGGAGAGATCCAAAAGCTCGTCTACATGTTTGTTTCTTTTTTTTGGGTTTGAGCAATAACTGTGCTTGAGCTGTACACGGTCTTCCTATGAGCAACGAGCGAGTCACGCACAAGAGGTGGAAGCAAGGCTTGACGCCATGCTGCAGGTGAGTCAGGAGAAAATGACATACAGTTTCTGAAATGAAAGTCGGACATGGTAACGGAGCAGTGCGGTTCTTCTTCTTTTGCATGATATCACTTTATAAGTTCAGGCTTGTCAGCAGAACGGCGCGGGACTAGAACTGGAAGTGGAAGAACTGAGCGGACGTGGCCAAGATGCTCCAGAGACACCGACTGGAGTGAGGGTGAGTGCGTCGTAGATTTTCCTCTTCTGGTTTGAATTTATTAAAAATTTTTCCAGCCGCCACAAACACCTGACTTCAGTTGGCTTTTCCAGCCCCTTACAAACAATCTAGCGGCGGAGACATTTACGGAGCGAATCAAGGGCGACGCCGGGTGCGAGGATGCCGATTTTCACAGGCAATACTTTCGAGAATCGGGGAAATACGACGGCCTGAGCCAAATCGATTTGCAAATTGGCCAGATTGTGGATCAACATATGACGAACTATGCTAATTTGAACTATGCTGGACTTTTGAAATCTGAAAGCGAAATGCAAAGGCCATCACACAATCTGAGATTTGACATGTCTGACAATCAGCGTTTTGAGGAGATGCTCATCGCCGATTCCAACTACCAAGCCAAGCTCTTCGAGCAGATCTTCGAGGTGTTAATTGATACGGCAAAAGTGCCAAAAGTGCCAAAAGTGCCCAAAAGTTCTCGGAATCTCAACTCGGAGACTCATTTCAGCTACGGGTGCTGGGATTTGTTCGAGTTGTTGGAAGAAAGACGTGAAAGCCTTGTGAAATTCATCGAATTCGGCTATTTGATCGAGTTTGAATTTGATTGCTTCATCATTCGAACGAATTCCGGTCCAAAGCCATGTACTTTCTTGGCAGGTGACCATACGGGGAGTTTGTTCAAATATGAAGAAAATGGAGTCAAGGTTTTGTTTTATTTGGAAGGGGAGACTAAAAGTGAACGAATACTGGCCAACCCGCCGCGGACCACGATCGGTTGCGTGGAGTTACAAGAGTTGGTGGCCAATGGAATGAAACAGTTGCACAAGGCAACAATATCCTATCACAGTTCCTTGAACAAGGAGTTCCGTTTTGAAGTAGAGAACTACACGTTTCGGCTGAAGTGGCCACCGAGTCATAAACACAATTGCAACGGTTTCATTCCAAGTCAGCTAATTCAAAAACCTGGCTTTCCGAAAGAGATCAGTCCTTCAGAAAGAATCGGAATCTGCAGGTGTATCCAAGGGTGTCCGGAAAGCGAATCGTTGATCGAGGTGTACACGAAAATCTGTAAATTGTTTTTTTTCGTGAAGCGGAAAGGGGTGAAGATGTTAAAGACACCGTACGAGGGACGGCCTTTGAAGATTCGCTTTGACGAGATTCGGCAACACCACGATTGGCGTTTCCATTGGCACGAGACAGAAAAACGGCTGATACTCGATCATCCGGAAAGCTATGACCAATCTAGCATTGAGATGTCGTTTGATTGTGATCATGTCGATCATGTCATGTCAATCATGTCGATTGATTGTCATTATGGCTTTGAATGCTTACCTGTATCAGAGAATCAATTGGAGAAACAACGAAAGACACTCGGCGTTCACGAGCTGTTCAATGTGAACCAACATCCCAATGAGAACATATTTTTCAGGTTTGGCCCAAATTGAGTTCGGAGCACCGTACTTTGTGCAAGACATGCTTAACGATATCTTACCGATAAACGATATCAACGATACTAACGGTACATTTTTGCCAAAGAACTACTACGAAACTCATGTTTTTAGCCCGATAATCGTAATGTTTTTTCGAACTGAGTAAAAATGAGGATCTTTAATGCTACTAACGTAAAATAACGTTGAAAACTGAGAAAGAGTATTGTTAGTATCGGTTATCGGTAAGCTTCTCGATACTAACGATACCGATATATCGCTAAGCATGTCTACTTTGTCCTACCTCTCGAACGACAACCATCTGGCAGATTGAACTCTTCGCTTTTCCATAGAAAAGTGCAAACTTTGGTGCACCAGATGAGCGAAGTTTGGGTGGTCGCACAAAGTATACAGCTGACTTTGAACAATTTTCTATTTCTCGTCTTCATTAGTAATCTGGTGCCGTAGCTTAGCTTTAGGATATTTCCCTAAATGATATTCTAGTTGGAGAACTACTCACTCTGATTTCTCTTACTATACAAGAAAATAGGGTGGGCGGCAATGTCTTTAACTTTATCAAAAATGCGCGCCAATTCTCGAAAGCTTTGTTTTAGTAACAAATTAGTAATGTTTTTTATAAGAGATTTATTGGGTTAGGCCAGAAACGTCGGGAAGACTTTCACAAAGAGCCTCAAAGTCAAAGCTTCGGTACTCTTTGGCACGGTAGTCCTTTGGCTTCAGAATCACTTTTGACTTGGACTTTTATAGCATATCTTAAGATTTTTGATCGTTGGGTGAAAAGTGAGAACACATTTTTCATGTTTGGCTCTGCAAATTTTCTAATTTGGATTATTTGGTAATTTGGTACTTTGGACAATGAGGTTGGGGGTAAATTGTCTTTCCGCTCGCCCCGAAAAGTCAACTTTTTATCAGTTATTCTTTTTTCGAATCTTGCTTTGTCAGTTCCTTTTAGAGCTCAGACCAAAACAAGGAAAAGCTCTGTTCATTCATTTTATTTATCTCCTCTTTTCTGTAAATGAAAATATTGGTCTAATGAAAAATAGTTCACTTTTTAGAAGTTCTTTTCGTGTAATTTGTTTGTGTTCAGGTGTCGGTTGAAGAAATAAAAACATGAAATCCTCGCAACTCAATTTTCAAACAAAAATAACAGGAAAGGTGGAAAAAAAACAGAGTTTTTAGTAAGAACTCTGACATTTTTCTAGGAAAAGAACTTAAATTTAACAGAAATTGGCACAGAAAAGCCGAGAAACCCAAGCATTACAAGACTTTTTCCTAAACTAAAAGACACTTTTTTCATCGCTAATTTTCAATCTTTGCTTTCTCTCATGTTACAATCGTAAACCCCGATTCTTTCTTTGTTATCTTTTTTTTATTTTTTCTCATTTACAGCTTACAATCACTATAAAATTCCCCCACTGATTGTTGGTAAATTGATTGAAAGATCGACACAAAGTGAGATCAAATGTCTTGCTGGTTGTTCGCACTATTTTATTGAAAGGTAAGCAGAACTTGAGCAGCTGGCTGTGTACTTTGTGCTTTCAGGATTGCTCTTTATTTGAATAGACAAGTTTATCTAATCGTAAGGGAAAGCGATCAGTTTTAAAGAAGTAAATGAATTAGCAAAATACTGGCATAAAAAAGGAAAGATAACAACATTTTACATTTAAAAAATGTTTCCAGAATACAACATAATCATAAACAGACAAAAAGTTCAGTATAAAGATTAACTGATTAACTGCGAAAGATTAATTGATCACGTGCAAGTAGAAGAGGCTATTTTTGATCCAATCTAGTGAAGACATTTGATTCTTTGCTGGTTTTATTACAGCATAGCACCTTGAGGGCTCGCGAAAACATAGAGTTCAGAATTGTTTCTTCTGTTTTAGAGTTTGAAAAGGCTGTCACCGATTGTCTGCCTAAATTTTCAAATATTCAATGTACTTCCATAACAAGTCCTACTTTAAAGGACAAGACTACTTACCCCGTTGTTCAGAAACTTAGATAGGTTTTTGTTATTCTTTAAAGGGATAATTTTTAGCTTATATATCTCATTGATTTCCTATATTCCTTATCTCTTTATACGAGTCCTCTGTGGTGATAATCACAAAAGATTATCGATAGTAGGGACCATCCAACTCACGTATAAGTGGGTCTCGCAGCGTCGGTCTTCTTAATTCCATCTCTTCAACACTTCTTGATTCGTCTTGCTCCACGGCGGAAGCTCGATGTGCATGCTCTTCCTAAAAGTATTGGTTTAAATCTTTTCATATATTCTAGAGAGAGCCCTTTTAGGGATCTAACCCCTTGCTAATATAGGGGAACCAAAATAAAGTAAGAAAACCACATCGGGAATACAGCTGAATGACCGGAGAGAGTCCAGAGCCGCTTCCAAGTGGTTCTCGTTGATTGGCTGGATCGAACTAAAAGAACTTTGACGTTTCACATTTTCATATATATATATATAGCGTGTCGATACAGTTTTGGAAACTAAGACAACGTACTAGACATATGCAATCGGTCTCAGCCAATCAGATCCGAACCGAGAAATTCCTGTTCAGAGGCAGAGCCGCCCGCTGCTGTGGGAACCAGATCAACAGACTTCCCCTGATCCGATTTGGGAATTCCTCGTTTCGGTCCGACATACACGAAGAGGGTTCTCAAACTCCGGGGCAAGTCGAAAAGCCGGGGTCTAGCGTAGTTTTACTATGTTCCAATACACACAACCCTGCCCGGAACGTTGCAACTTGAAATCGACCTATGCGTCTTGTTCCAGTAGCCAGAATCAGAAACGTCGTTGGCGGATCCGCCAACGAATTGAATTGAAAAAAGCATATTGTGTATCAACTTGAATAACCAATTCCTACTTTGCAAGCAATAATGCAATTAGCTACGAGAAGTTGATCCAAAGGAAAAACAAGAACAAAAAGCCGCATCAGAGAGCGAACCCAGACCCTGTTTACCGGATTGAATTGGGGTAAGAACTCGAACTCGGAAAAAAGCTCCTCCTGAAAAGTTATCTAACTTTAATATTAAAAACAACAACTCCGATGAGTTGCTCGACTAAGGCCAGAGACGTTGTCGCATCTGGTCGATCTTCCGGCTCGGGACTCGTGAATTATTTCAAGCTTTCAAGATGGCATGTTTTGTCCTAGATTTTCTTCTTGTTTGAAAAACTTTTCGAAATAAAAAATAATAATGAAATGTAAATTTAGCCTAGATCTACTCAGGCATAGCAAAAGCAAGTAAGGAATTTTCCAAAAACATGAAAAACAATGCTTACTTGAGCCGTTACTTGAGCGAATTGGGTTACTTTGGATTTTCTGCATTTCTTTTTGTGTCTAGACTTGGTCTTGGCAGTAAAATTGGAACCGTGATTTTTAAAAAAATAAAAAATAATACTTTTGAAAAAATCTTAAAAAAAAACCACGTTCATTTATTTAGGAGATCGTCTGAGAGTCTTGAGCAAGAAAATATTTTTACTTTTAAACATCTTTTCTGTACGTTTTAGAGCAAGGACTATCACGTAGAGTAGTTTTTAAGAAAAAATAAATTTTTGATCATGTTACATGATCAAACAGGTGATACAGCAAAAATGAGATTTTGTTTATAATTCAATTTATCAAAGGTTCTATTTAATTCAAAAAGTATTATATATCATTTGAAAGAAGAAGAAAAATGCAACAAAATGAAAGAGCTAACTATTTTCTATCACTCCATTTCTTCTGATTTCTTCAATCCTCTTCTTAGTACTCTCCCCAAGACGCTGTACAAAACTTGGCTTCATTTTCCGCAGACAATACTTCTTCCGTTTCGATAGTTGCTACGTGGCTTCTGCTTTCCAGGCGCTGGCATAAACTCGTCCTTTCAAAATTGCCCAAAAATCTTCAATGGACCGAGCTTCTGGCAGAGCCGAGCTATCTTCCTTAGCCAATTTACGTTCTCCTGAAGCAAGTGCTGCATCACAACTTCTGCGTAGTGGGAGTTAGCTTCATCCGGTCAAAACAAGTAGTTGTTGCTGTAGTTGGCTCGGATATAAGGAATCAAATGCTTCCTGATGCACTCCTCTAGGCCTAGATTATCCATTGCCTTCCTTAGGGCAGCTTTTTTTTGCGTGTGGTCACCTTTCTATCGGAGCCATCCTGTCTGACAAACTGCAGGCAAATTGACTTCAAATTGCAAATTGACAAATTGACTCGATCCCTTTTCCCTGTTAGATAACGCCTTGCTCACGGGAACTCACTGACTCTATTCTCCTCATGGCAGCATCAAGATGAAGTTAAGGTTCTTTTCATAGGTTTTTTCGATTTCAGTAAGGCCTTCACATGGCTTGTTTATAACCTTAGGCTCTTCGGGATACAATAGAGATCCTTCTCGAACGACTTTTTTAATGTTAGAATAGAGTTTTGTGTAATTGTATTGGCAATTATTGCAATTAATTTTCAATCAAACCCTAGGACTAGAATCAGATTCAGATCAGTCGGAAATCGGATCAATATCTTTTAAAGCATTTCTTTTTAAAATTTTCAAAGCAAAGCCAGAATCACGCCTGATCTAACCCCAAGCCTGGGCGCGTGCGGTTCGTCAGCGACGTGGCTTTATCAGTGAAAAAAGAAATGTGACGCTTACTCGTTCCATTTCCTAACCGGTTCAATTGCCCACTTGCTGCACAACTCACCCGTATAGCCGACAGTCTGCTTCCCCTCCTGGATTCGATTGCCATCAATTCGTCCTCATTGTCTCTCATTTCCCTTTCCTCTCTCTCGAACTCGAAACCTTGGCGGTGGTTCTGTGATGGTTCGGACCGCCTTCTGCGCTGCTGATGGTTGCTCTGAAGATGGTTTTGAATTGGATGAATCGTTTTGACTATATTGATGACTTGAACGATTGCTAGCTGCCGTTTTTGCCCCGGAATCTAAGCATTCCCTGTGTTTTAACAAGAGTGTGTTCAACAATTCATCGAGCCGGAAACACTCGAGACTGGCCGAAGATTGTTTACCTAATTTGAGGTTTCGTGAACGCATTCTGATTGTGTTCTGATACTTGATGCTTTTGCGATATATTGGTAGCTTTCATCTTCATTAAATTTCACTAATTTCGATCAAAAATGAAACACAATAACTTTGATTTGAGAACACCCTTTTTTTACACGTTTTGGGCCAAGCCCTATCAATTAAAATAGTTTTGAATAAATTCTAAATTTTCGATTCATATGGTCCCGCTTATCTAGTTTTTGGTCGGCCGATTTTGGGAGGTTGAATAATAGAAGCACATGTACTTCTATTAGAATAAGATACGGTAATTCGTGAACAGATTAAGCTGAAAATTTGTGTACGGGGATTTTCGGGGGTGGGGAATCCAAATCCGGTATTATTGGGTTGGTGAATTGAAAACTGCCGGCTATTGTCATATGTGACAGTTTGAGTACTTTCTTCAAAAGAAACCCATGTTGGTGTTAATGGAAAAGTTGTAGAGAATCAAAAATCAAGCTTATATCCAGATTTTCAGAACGATTCAAAAACTGATTTTCAAGAAATGCCAAATTTACAAATTTTCACAAAACTTTCATTTTAAGCGAAACTATTAAGTGTATCGTTTCGAAAATTTGGCTATAAGCCTAATTTTTGATTCTCTACAACTTTTCTATTGACACCAAATGGGTTTCTTTTGAAGAAAGTGCTCAAACTGGGACATCTCCGGTCCTCCATTTTTGAGTCTCACACACAAATCAAATTTGCTTAAGAAACACGACCAATGTAATCGGCATGTACCCTAATACGTATATGATAAGTATGTGTGCCCTGTATCTTTTCAGCACCAGTTTCGGACAATAGGATGCTTTGAGTGTTACTGAACGATGAATGCTATTGAAAAAGAATGATCATTTCCATTGGAATTTACCAGTACGGATAAACTGTACTGATAAAGTACTGCGAAAAATGTCAAATCAGTGGCCAAACCTTGACGGAAATTTCGGATGAACTGCCCAAGCTTCTCATGAAACTCAGCGACAAGTTTACAATGAGCAAAGAAAGAAAAAAAACATTAATATGGGGATGGACTGCGTGGTCATTGTCAAGGTCAATGCGTGAGTGCGATCGCGCGATTGCTACGTGCTTCTCATCAGCTCATCTCAAAAGCGGTTAAGCGATACAAGGAGCTTGGCAACGATGGAGATCGTCCAGGAAGAGGCAGAAAAAGAACAGTCAACACCTCCAGAAATTGCAAAGTGATTCAGAAGCGCGTGGCCCAGAATCCACAAGTCTCAATGAGAAAGATCGCTCGACAGACGGGGATCGGTCGCGAATGGGATCGACGTATCGCCAAAAATCAGCTCAATATTTACCCTTACAAGCTAAAGCAAGGGCAACAACTCGACGACGACAACAAACGAGTTCGACTCGAAAGATGGCGAGAGCTTCTCAAGCGGGGAACGTCACACTGGGAGCGAATCCTGTTTTCTAACGAGAAGCTCTTCTGGGTGGAGCAAAGCTACAACCACCAAAAAGATCGGATTTGGTCAACGTCCTCTCCAGGCAGCTCTGCGATTGTTCAACATCGACAAAATCCCAAAACGGCCATGGTATGGGCCGGAATTTGCGCAACCGGCAAAACTCCTCTCATTTTCATCAATTCTGGGGTAAAAATCAATAAGGTTGTGTACCAAAAAAAGCTTCTTGAGGATGTTTTGCTTCGATGGGCTCAACAGCATTTTGGTAACGGATTTTGGACCTTCCAACAAGACTCCGCTTCTTCTAATTGAGCCAAATCCACACAGGACTGGTGTAGGATAAACTTTCCGGATTTCATGTCGGCCCAGCAATGGCCTCCGTATTCGTGCGATCTCAATCCGTTGGACTACAGTGTTTGGTCAATTTTGGAGGCAAGGGCTTGAGCAAAGCCCCACGAAAGTTTCGAGGATCTTAAGCAATCGTTGGCCAAGGAATGGGATCGAATCACTCCGGCCGAGCTGCGGCCCATCGCCGAAAACTTCATCAAGCGTTTGAGGCTCTGCATCGGAGCCAAAGGTGGCCACTTTGTAGAAAAGTAGATTTTATGCTCTCTTTATATCATGTTGTTAATAAAAAATTGTTTCTGTTACAAAATCTTTTTTCTGTTTCTGTTACAAAATTTTTTTTGGGATTTTTAAAAAATAGGCTAAATTAGGCCGCAACGTTATTTCTGGTCACCCTGTCATGCTCAGTTCAGAGCTGAATCTTCGATGATTAGCTGTTTAGTCTATGCGCAACAATTAGCTTTGTAGAAAGATTGCTTCTGAAAGGATAAAATATAAATACTCAGATCATCGGACCAGCCAGATAAGGGCATCTCCAGGGTGGCTAATAAGTCATGTCGCATGCTTGAACGCGTGTTACGTCTCGAGGCCATTTACAAATCTCATGAACAACCTGCTAAAATGTCGCTAAGAGTCTAGGGACTCTAAATATATTCATGAATTTTTCGGACAATAGCTGTGGAAAATTTTATTGCAATTCTTGTGCTTTTCAAATAAACATCTCACGATCCTTGTCATTTTTGCACGCTATGTACTTGATCACAGCTGGGCTAAATAAAGGAAGAATTCATTGATTTCCATATCGTCTTTCTCCTAATATGTACAAGTAAAATCTTAGTCTTACCAATAACCATATTGTAGTAAATATATTTATTCCTATTTATACCAATTATATAATTCGTTCTAATACAATCTTTAGCCCATTCACGACCTACACCTACAGAGTGGGTCTCTTTGTCGTGAACGTGTCAAACGACAATAAGAAATCCTTAATAAGAATAATAATAATAAGAAAGAAATCTAGAAATTTTCAACGTTTTAACCGCTTCGATTATTTATTATAAAATAATAAAATAATATAAAATATAATTTTTCCATTTGATGACATCTATCTCGTTTTAGATTCGGCACAATAAACTTCTGGTTCTAGTGAGCCCGACACGAGTTCACTTTGATCACAACCCATTTCTTGGCGTCCAATGAGCTTTCCTTGATCCTAGCGTTGGTTATGTTTGATAAAGATTTGTTTGATGTGTTGAAAAGCAGTTCGGATCCATTTCCGAGCAATCGACAAATATTAATAGCAAAAGTTTTGCAAGAATTTCTGCCAAAACCAGAAAATCAGAAGCAACGCCTCTTTCTCTAAAATTCAAGCATTAAGCAACTATCCGGGATCCGACATCCAAAAAACTCGAGTCGCTTGAATTTTTTCAAGAAACTGTTGAGATACCGTATTTTCTGTAATAGTAGTGCAGTCTCTAATAGTAGTGCACTCTGTAATAGTAGTGCAGGCAGGAGGGGGGTTGAAAAAATAGTAGTGCGCACTACTATTACAGAAAATACGGTAGTTTTGTAGCTTGAAATTTTCCAAAAATATAATTTCTTGGTTGAAAATTGATTGGGGGTAGCCTCGAGGAGCTCGGGCCGTTAGACTGAAAGTCGCGAAATCCTGGCTGCGGGCCAGCACCATTTGGCATTCTATTTTTGGGACAAAACCCGATAAATAGAACTGCAACAATAAATTAACAAAGCTAAAAAAATCGGTACTTGTTGATCTTTTCACCGCGAATTTATCGATTGAAATTTAACCCTTAATTTGCATGTATGATGCGGTGAAAGATCAACAAAAACGATATGACTTACTTGGCGTTTTTTTCGTTTGTTTCATGTTGGATCCGACATCTAGAATTGAATTGAGTTGAATTGAAACCAACCAGCAGAGAAAAACCAATAGATAACAAAGAGAAATTAGACCAGAGAATACTATTATTGTATTGGGTTGGTGGGTATCATTTGGCACTTTTTCTCAAATTAAATCCCAGAGATGGAAACAAACATGAGGGAGAAGGGTTTGTGGAAAATAGGTAAGTGAACATACGCTCTTGCGGAAAAAATGAACTTTTACTTTTGATATATTTGGTTTTTGGAATTTTACTTTACTTTCTCCTAATTGTTGAAAAGCTACCACCTGGAGATCTGCGACACGTTATGATGTACAAATTTCTACAAAGACATAAAGGTCTTTAGTGTTCAACTAATATTGAGAATGGGAGGTGATGGCCCATCCAGCATACAGCACTGATCCTGCACCTTCTGCTTACTACTAATTCCGGGCCATGAGCAATGATTTGGCGAACAAACGCTTTGATTCCAAAGAAGAGTTCCAAAAATGGTTAAAAAACAGATTGGTTTGCGACAAAACCGAAGATTTTCTATGAGAGAGGCATTCGACTTCTATCAGTCAAATGGGCACAAATGGGTGATAAGCCAGATGTGTGTTGGATTTTCGGGCTTCTCCACAAAAGCTTCGTAATGTTTGACAATCTGAAAAGAAAACTTTCAAAATGTCGACTTTATGTTCGAAACAACTAAAATCTCTTACATTCTCATGTCGATTGAAACGAGAAATTTGAATTTCTTTTCTGAGGCGAGTATAACCATTGACAAACCATAGTCGAGAGTTAGAATATAGTTAAAAGTGCAACTTGGACCGGATCAACCCTTTGATCAAAGATAAAATTGGCTAGAATGAACTATCGCTTTTTGCATGTTTTCTTTTGAAATTTATTACTCAATAAAACTATTTTTATGTTGTAAGAAAATTGAAAAGACTAGGAAAACAATTCTTTCAAATAAGGATTTGCAGTGCTTCAGAAAAAATGATTTTAGGGAAACCCTAAATTGGCAAAATGGCTATATGCCTTTCAGTAAAAGAAAGGGGGTTTTTGTTGCACAAACAAATGCACACCTCAACCTGACGAAAAATGATAAGAAATTGATTGGTTAAATCAAATCAAACCTGGAGAAATTAGAGAATTCAAATCTCATAACCTAAAAATGGAGTTGTTTCATCAACAAAGAGATCAACGACTAACAAATAAATATTTTGTTAGCTAACATTGGATAAATATTTATGTGCCATAACATTGGATAAAGGTCATTGATAACAATAAAATTTAGTAATCCAAAATTATTACACTAATCTTGAGAAATTCAAAAGCATTTGCTTTAAAATTCCTTCATCGCGAGCGTTGCTGTTTTGAATGTCTTCTGTGGGAACAGGCTTCGGTTCAAGAATTTGCTAAAAATTGGGATAAAATTGAAACAAATTCTAGTTTAATATTATACATTGAAACCATACTTTTTACAAACTTACATTAATTTTTAGAAGATATGGATGTTCCAAGCATTCATATGCTCTCGGTCTTGATTGCGGGTTCACATCAAGGAGTTTGAGCAAGAGATCTTTTAGGTTTGCTTCTAAATCTGTATATCAAAAGAGTATTCCGTTAAAAAGTCAAAAATTATTCTAGATATTCACTTGTTAGACTTGAATTTCTATCGGATTCCATTCGATCAAGTGCCGTATCAATTTCTGCCTCCAATCTTCCCGGTCTCGGCCTTTCCAATGATAAACAATTTTGAAAGCTGAATGTGAAGATATATTGACTTTTTAAGTATCTCATACATGTCTTGATACTTCGTATTTGGAAGTCCGATCACATCGAGAATTCGTTGTTTGACTAATTCAGTGGGAGGCTGAAAGTTTAAATTGCAGTTGGATTATTGAATTGCAGCTTACCCCATCAACTAATGGTGGCTTCATCAATTTACATCCAAGCATTTCCATTCCGACAAGACCCATCGCCCAAATATCAACTGAAAGGCCAGTGCTTTACAAATTTAAACAGCTATAATTCTTCAGTTTAAATTGATTTTACCTCCACAATCGTATTTTCTCTCAAGAATCACTTCCAAAGGTTGATAGATTCGTGGAGTAGGAACAAATCGAGTATGATCCAATTGAGCGTTTATTTGGCTAAAACTCTTGTATTACACAATCATTGTTATTGATTAAAACATTTCAAAACACGATTTACTTCAAAATCTAATAAAGTAATTCTTAACTCTGAAATTTCTCTCACCCGCACCCTTCCAAATCGAGCAATTTGATCACAAATCTTTCATTTTTCATTCCGATGTACTTTGGCGTTACAAGCTAAAGATAAAGTTACATTTACAATCTTAATTTTTAAAATTCTGATATTACATAGTTTTTATGTGTCCATTTTGCTTTCTTACTCGATGCATGACTCCTCTCTGATAAAGAAAATCGAGTGCACGAAACATTTGAACAAAAAGAGCCGAAACATTTTGATGACCACGCAATTGATTCCCTTTTTGGAGGTGCCTAAAAAGTTGAACTCTTCAGTTTCTTCAAAAAGCTTATTCTTAGATCAAAATCTAAATACTGACTCAAAATAAACATCAAGCGTCTGATCCATTCGTTCTGTTATGATCCAAACAAATTTGTGTGATCGATTCAAGCCTTCTTCGTAAAATAAGTTCATCATAGTGACAATCTAAAATAACAATTTGCTATAATAAGAAAACAGATTAGAATATTATACATATACTCACATTTGGGTGAATGAGATATTGAGTGTTTTGTATTTCTTGAAGCAATTGGGTATGGGTAAAAGTGCTATGTGTTTGGGTTGTAAGAGAAACGATATCATATCTAAACGGGTTTTTAATTTATAAAAGCTGAAAACTTATATCTCATATCGAGAAACATTTTTTCTTTGATGTCACATTACAAACCTTTTCATCGCCACTTTTTCACCTTTTCCCCTTTCTCCATCTTTCCGAAAGACACCAGCTCTGAATGGGATTTTTTCCTTTGAGACATCACAATGCCACTTTAAAAGACCATTAAGAATTAGTTTTAACCAAAAATATTGTTGTTTTCTGTACTTTCAAATATACTCACACAACAATTGCTTGTGAACCTGCTCCAATTATATGGAAAGCCGTTGGCGGAATTTGCTCTTTTCGATGATCGGAATCTTGCTGAAAACTTTGACTTGCATCATCAATGTTTAGTTATGCAACCTTTCTTTTAACTTTTAGAAAATTTTAAACATCTTCGAACTATAGAACAAACTTGATCCGGTGAATATTCAAGCGGGATTTGTGCTGTAATTGTGGTCATTTCATTGTTTTCTTCAATCCAACAGATATTCACCGTCTGTGAATTATTCGCCACAGCCGCCGTTGGATATTGTCGTTTTCTCCAGATAAGGGGCTTTAACCTAAAAAACTAATAATATAAAATATAAAAGAGGAGATGAAAGGAGAATTTGAAAATCAGCTAGGAGGTGAGGGGTAAAACCTTCGCAAGAAAGGGATGCCATATCTCTTTCTTTTTTTTCTTGAATTTAACTTTAGTCCCAAAGGGCTATAGGAATTCTGCTAACAATAAACCTAAGTTAGTCAAATGCACAGAATATTATTTTGTAGACGAACAAGGAAAAAGTTTAACCGAGTTAAGTTTTTATGGAGAGTCACAAATTGAATCTTGTGCATTTGGTTTACTGACTCAACAACTGTATTCTATTTTGCGCCGTGTTTTACGTCGATTGTAGTTTGTGATTTAAAAAGGAGAAAATGTTTGAACTTAGCTTATCCTGGCTACACTATGGGTAGATAACTAAAAGCATACAGGCCTAAAAAGCCGCTTTGCTATATACAGGGTGGCTAATAAGTACTGTCGCATGCTTGAGCGCGTGTTATTTCTCGAGGTTAATTCCAAATCCCATGAGAAATATAGAAAAATGTTGCTAAGCGTCTAAGGAATCTAAAGATATGCATGAATATTTGAGACAATGACTGTGGAAGATTTTGTTGCCATTTTTGTGCTCTTTAAAAAGTGTCGATCATCCGCAAGCTATTTTCCCCTGCGAAAGTGTTAAATCTCTTCTTTCAAGAATTCGCATCAACAGCCGACGACTCTCCACCAACTCGCCAGGGATTAAAAGTGAAAGGTGCTTTCGCAAGGCTCCTTCGAGAAGCCGAGATGGAGCACGTCGACATTGATGATGGCGAAGAAGAACTCGGGTGTCAAGGAAGTGAAAGCCAAGCCGACAAAGACTGGGAAGAAGAGGAAGAGGATACGGTTGACGTCTCCTTGTCAAATTTTGAAACTCGATCCGAAATTTGCTGTTCAGAAGATTTTTCTGGGCTCTGTTGTGAAGTGGATTGTGCTGATGTCCCTTTTTTTCGATGTGCTTATTACTTCAAGGAGTTTTGCTTCCTTCATTTTGTTGCTTCTTTTCACCGTTGTTGGTTTATTTGCCGTTTGAATCAATGTTTTGTTATCTGTTCGAAGATCCAAAAAAATGCAAAATTTTGAGAGCGAAAGTTTCAAAAAATTGCCTGATGGTTGTTATGAAAAAAAGTCAAAAATGTTTGGAAATTTTTTTTAAGTTTGTGCCAAATCGAAAGATCATCATATAGGTAGTATCTCGGGACATTAAAAAACTGTTTAGACAACATTTTGAGTCCTTTTTGAAAAAAGGCAAAAAGAAAACACAAGTTGAAACGGAGAACCAGAGAGTCTCCACTCTGTATCCCAACGATCACTACACGATCGAAGCATGTTCGAAGGAGAAAGGGTATGTAGTCAAGCAGAGAAGTGACGATTTCCTGCGTTTTGACCTTTTTGACGACAGCGAAATGTTTATATTGGAGGAGTTTATAATCGTTATATTGGAAGCTTCATATTGGAGCTTGCAGCTGAATTTTTAATATGTTGTTCCCCAGAGTCGATTCTACCTATTCTACCTATATTGGGGGCAATTGGCCAAGAATGATCAACTGAAGAAAGGGCACGCCACTTTCGTCTCGTTCATGGAAAACAACAAGACAAAGGAACTCTGAGGTCGAAGAGCACAATCAACTCGAAGCCCGCCGCCTTGTGTGCACGACTCCATTGAAGCTCAAGGAGGAACGACAATGATATATGCCTGAGGGCAAATTTCACGTAGTTTTCTGTTTATTCTCGGTATATGATTCACTAATATTGTTCTTTTTTGATTGGCTATGATTTTAGCCCCGCTGTAATTCGATGTTGTTTTCTTTTTTCTGCTAACCAATAAACCTTACCTACCTAACTCACAACAAAATGTACACCAATAATATTTTGTTATTGATGCGCAAAAGACCTAACCCAAAAAACAAAAGACCCAACCTAACCCATTCTGTTCTATCATCAAATCCAATTGGTTTCATCAGTTCTTTTTGGTTTTGATCTTCTGTGGGCATAAAAGGGAGTGAAGAGATGAATTGATTTGCCTAGGTTATTATATTTGAGAAGTATAAAATTCCAACAAAAAGGAAACTTACTCAACTATTGGGTTGGGAAGCATGCAACTTCGCAAATTCCCATTTACTCCTAGTTACTCATTCAAAATAACTAGAATTAGAATTTTCATGGTTTATGTAGAATTCTTGGGACTACCATATCTCCGGACAAACATCTCCAAAATAAGTGTTCTCTCAGCGTAAACTGCCTAAACGCCCACTCTCTGGCGTATGCCAACCGGCTATGTTTGGTTCAAATACCCAAGTATGAAACGTATTTCTACCATTTAGCTCGCTTTTTTGTAGTATTTTACTCGTTGTTTGAACCACGAAATTTCCCTTTACTCCTATTTACCCATTTTACCATTAAAATAGATAGAACAGAAACGAAAGATAGCTATCCCAGAGAGTGGGCGTTTAGGCAGTTTTAACTCAGAGAACGCTTATTTTGGAGATGTTTGTCCGCAGTTCGGCGTGGAAATCATCACCAAGAAGTGTTTCTCTATTTGTTTTAAACATGAATTTAGCTGAAATTTTAAGGCTGTCTATTTTAAAGTTCCCCCTATATATTTTGAAAGAAAGAAGAACTTTCGTGATCGAACACGGATTTACATGGCGTGACAACATAATTCAAATTCAATCCGGCCGTTCTCATCCATTTTATCACAAAAGATTCTGAAACTTTAATACTTGGTAGCTTTAAGAATTCTACAAAAAATTCTAGAAAATTCTCAATTTTAGTTATTATTATGGTAAAATAAGTGAAAGCAAATACTTTCCAACCCAAATTAATGGTAAACGAGAAATTCAAGTTCTTTTAGAAAAGCTTACTTTCTGCGTTTGAGCAAGGAAATCCAAGACTTCAGAAGCTGTTGGACGATGAATACGTTGAAAGTTAGTGCATCTGATAGGTGGATTCTTAAAATATAAAGGAAAATCTTGAATCCAAACCTAGAGATGATTTCTTCAATTTCTGATTGGCATTCAGGTGATTCGATTTCAGTAAGACGTTTGAAACCGATATCTAATACAAGTACATCTCTGTTGAATGCCCCTTCTGGCCCATAATTTAAGAAGATTGTTCTAAAGAGATTCGTTTTTTTTGGGTCGGATACAGCCCTTCAATATTGAATCTTTAATTTGCGTTACCTTCGTTTCATAAAATCTTTCAAATAAATACCTCCTTTCAATGATCTCCCACACGACCAAACCGAGGCTGTAAACATCGTTCCGATGGGAATCCTGGAGTGCATTTTAAATGATAAAAGTACATAATCAAACTCGAATATCTGGATCCTTGATTTGGTCATGAACATCCCGTATATGATTCTCAATCAATTCGGGTGGACTCATATAGCGTTGTGTTCCAGCGAATGTTCCCGTAACAGTTCCATCTCCCACTACTTTTACCAATCCGAAGTCACCAATCTTCAGCTGGTATTCATTCGTCACAAAGATGCTATAAATGAAACGAATTTCGACATTTATACCACTGAATATTACTTGTCTGGTTTGATATCTCGGTGTACCAATTTGTGTTCCTGATACATGTGATCAATGGCCTTAAATAATTGGATTCCCCAGGTGAGAACAGTGTTCATTGAATAGCTGATTGTTGAGCTGAAGATCACTAAACTGTGAATTATAACAATATATTTTGAAGCTGAACCATCTCTGAGGGATCCCTTCTGGCAAAATTCCATTACAATCCCCAATTCCTCTCCATTCTCCTCTATAGATAACATGCTCACTACATTTGGATGATCAATGGCCTTCAATGCTTCACATTCATTTTTGAACATCTGACGAGCTTTGTCATTTTTGCACGCGATGTACTTGATCACAGCTGGGCTAAACAAAGAAGCTTATGGTACAATACAACCTCTGCAGAAGATTGAATATTGAGCACAGCAGTGAATAGATCAAAGATAACCAACGTTTCGTGTCCAATCAATTCATACACTTCTCCAAATGCTCCTTTCCCAATACGCTTTCCCAATTCAAATTTCTTGGATGTTGTCATTTCCACAGATAAGGCTTTAACCTAAACAACTAATGAATGAAAGTTGATATAAAAAGATGAAATGAAAACTCGAAAAACAGCTAGAAGCTGAGGGGCAAAAGCTTTTGCAAGAAAGGGATGTCTTATCTCTTTCTTCTCTCCACTCTATTCCCATATTGATTGATTCTGGGCTTTGGGAAAAGGAGAGGTATTTGATAACAATCAACTAAGTCTCAATAGTTCATTCAATACTTTTCTTTCTCTCGAATTTGACTTTAGTCCCAGAGGGCCTCGAGAATTCTGCTAACAATAATCATAACAAAATCTAGTTTTATGCATTTCATTTACTGACTCAAAAACTCTATTTGGTTTTGCATCGAAGCACTGTAATTTGTGTCTTGATAATTTGGTATAATTTGGTACACAAAATATAATTTGGTTTACTGGCTCAAAGACTCTATTTGATTTTGCGCCCTTTCTCACGTCGAAGTAATGTAGCTTATGGTTTAAAAAGGGGGAAAATTTGGATAAAAATCTATTCTGGTTGAATTGGAGCATCTTTTTGTTGATTAGTAGAGTTAGTGACCCATCCAACCCACCCAGATGCTGATTTACGAGCTTCTCGAGCTTTATTGGATCGGTTCTTTTCAGTTAATCGGCTGGCCGAGAGATTGGAGACCGTACTCAACGCTTTCCCTGAAGCGCTTTGTCACTTTCAACTAAAGTAAACGATTGTCGCCATCCCAACAAGCGAACTCGCCGACTTCAGGTCTAAAGCAGTGCTGAGTTGGCAAGGAGAGAATTCGCGAAAGGATTCGACATGTCCCCTATACAGCTAGGAGTTGTGC